GCTGGAGCCTTGGTGAGGCAGATTTTCCTGACAGCATGCTGGAGGAAAGTTTTGGGGTGGGAGGCTCCGGATGATGTCATACAAGGCTACAGCCCACAGCATATGTTGACATCACCACAGAAGAAGGAGGGCACTTGGGGTCCACCCATCCTAGCACAAGTGCATAAGGGTTCCAGACCACTCATGGGGAGAACCACACCTTCATGGGGCCTCATGGGATATGGCGGCAGCTGCGGGGGTTGGGGGGTCGTCTGCCCTGACCATCTTCCCTAAATACCAACAAAGGCAAACAAGACTCTACCTGTGCCCAGGGATGGAGCCAAGGAAGGCACAGTAGAGACAAGGGACCAGTGTCACGTTATCACCGCCATTGCCACACCCCCACCCAGGAGCTTTAATGAGACACTGCTGTGTCCCATTTTACAGAGAAGGATGCTGGGCCTGGAGGGTCACAGTGGCTCAGAGTAGGGACACCAAGTCTGGAGACCAGAAGGTCCTCAGGATGACCTGCAGTTGGAACTGTAGCTCACAGACACCACATCCCTGCCCCTCCACAAACATCTGGACCAAGCGAAACAGCTCCTATCCTCTTCGGGTCAGCCATTCCTGCTAACAGCAGACTGTCACACAGAGCTGGTTAACTGACATTTCGTCAGAGGAGAAGATGGACAACCTACTCTCACTTGAGGTTCCAGCCATTCTTCCCGACCACATGTGGACAACCCTGCTCTGACCACATGCGGCCCTGGGATCTAGGGAGGTGCTAGAGAGTATAGAATGGGGAGGTAGAGGGTGATCCCAGCTATGGGGCAGCCATTATCCACGGTGGATGAAAACCTTCAATGCAGTTGCTCTGGGTCACCCCTATTCCTGCAGACGGCTCCACACCCTGGCTCTGTAAATTCACCCAAGAAACTCGCTGGTTCTCCAGGGTGAACTTCAGGGCGACCATATTTTGGGTTGCCTTTGGGTCTATAGGGTCTATGAATTCTCATGTGTAGGGGATCTGGGGCCCCTCCCAAGCCTGGCATTCTGCTCCAACAGCTTAGGCCTGAGTCAGACACAGTGACCCCTCCCCCATAGCCCAGGCCCAGTGACATCTCCCCACTTGAGCCCTCTGCCCCAGGGCCCTCCCTTGCATGGCACTGGGGGTCCTCCTCTTGGGAGCTATGTGACACTTCGTCTTTCTTCTTTCTTACATTTAGTATTGCTTGTAGTGGGAGGGAGGGATGTGCCCTCACACATGCGAAGGTCAAAGGTCGGAGGACAACACTGTGACTTCTGTTCTGTCTTTCCATCTTTTTGTGGATTTCTAGGATTGAATCCAGGCCATCGGGCTAGCATTGAGCCATTTTGTAAGCCCCTATTTATTTAGTGTGTGTGTGTGTGTGTGTGTGTGTGTGTGTGTGTGTAATATACTGCACACACTGGATCTGTGGGCTCTGAGGACAACACACACACACACTCATACAAGTGGAGGCCAGGGTATTTTCCTCAGTCTCTCTCCACATTTTATTTTGGAGACAAGTGTTCGTTCTCTCTCCTCCCTCTCCCTCTCCCTCTCCCTCTCCCTCTCCCTCTCCCTCTCCGTCTCCCTCTCCCTTTCCCTCTCCCTCTCCCTCTCCCTCTCCCTCTCCCTCTCTCTCTCTCTCTCTCTCTCTCACGCACACGCTTCTTGTGGATTTGAGCTTTCAGCTGCTCCAGAGCCCTGCCTGCCTGCTGCTGAGCTTCCCACTGCACTGGTGACGGACTGGAACTGTAAGCCTGGAACTGTAAGCCCAATTAGACACTTTAGTAAGATGTCCTGGTCATGGAATCTTGTAACAGCAGCAGAAAAGTAACAAGACACATGAGTGTGGGTCCTCCTGCTCGTATAAAAAGTACTTTACTGACTGAAACGTCTCCCCGGGCCCCATGTTTAAGTCTCTCAAAGGCAATGGCCCCTTCATCTCTGAGCTTGACACACCTGAAGGAGAGAAAAGTCCCGGATACGCTCTAACCCCATACTGTCCTCAGAGCCCACAGATCCAGTGTATACAAGATCTACAGATCCAGTGTGCAGCATCTGCAGACCCAATGTGTGCAGCTGATTTTGAAGCCGAGGTCCTAGAGACCCAGCTCTGCCCTAAGACAGGATGGTGGCCTGAACCCAGGTCCCAGGGCGTAGGATGGACAGCTAGGCAGTCCTAGCTTCCCCAAGGCTCCAGTGTACAACAGATGCTGAAGACATGAACCCACAAAGGCCACAGAGGCAGCAGGGGTGGGCACACGTGTGAGGAGCACTATTTCTGAAGGCTGTGACTCCAGCTGGCAAGTGTCACTGACAAGACCCCATGTACAGACAGGTGGCTCCACAAAGAACAGCAGTTGGAGGGTGGATCTCAGCAGGAAGGTCCATAAACCTCACTCTCTGGTTCTGTGAAATGGGTAGAAAGAAGGCTTTGGGACGGGACCTCAGTTTCCAGCATTCTGATCCCACAGCGGTTCTCTGCCTGCCTATGACAGCTAGCCCTCCTCAGATCCTCTCTGGTGACACAGTAGCAATGAGATAGCCTCGGCTTCTTCATACCCATTCTCCTTGTTCTCCTCCCTTGCCTTTTCAGCTTTTGAAATAGGGTGTCATGTAGCCCAGGCTGACCTCAAACTCACTAATATAACCTTGAATTCCTAATTCCCCTGCTTCCACCTCCCAAATGCTAGCACTGCAGGTGTAGATGCTATGCTCAGGTCTTCATCTCTGGCATCTCTAGGCCAAGTCCGAACGCAGTCCTGATCCTCTAGGATTGAGCCAATCAGCCCCTCCTTCAGGAAGGGTTATATTTACCATCGGGGCAGGGAAGTCATCTCTAATTGTGGTTTGCCATTGCTGTCTTAGTTGCTGTCTTAGGGTTTGTTTGTTTTTCCTGTTGCTATGACAATATACTCTGACAAGAGCAATTTAGAGAGTTTCTATTCTGCTCAGAGCTCAAGGGTCCAGTCCACCATGACAGAGGAGTCAAGGCAGCAGACAGTTGAAGCAGCCAGTCAAAATCCATCCACAATCAGGAAGCTGAGGATGATGAACACACGCTGCTGCCCGGCTCCCTGTCTCTGCTTATGCAGTCCGGGGAGCCAGCCAGGGAATGGTGCCGCCCATATTGGGCAGGTCTTCCTTTCTTGATTAACAAAAGCCAAGATGACCCCAAACACACACAGACAGACATGTCCAGAGGTCTGTCTCCCAGGTGGCTCTAGACTCTGTCCATTGACAATTTACACTAACCACCCTGATCGTCACCCTAGTCACAGTCCCTTAATGACAGGCACTGACTCCTCCTACATAATGTAACTGACCGCCATTGCGGTCAGATGTGTTTCACATTAGCTAGTGGCCAGTGATCCTGGGAGGGGTGTCAGGGGTGAATTTAGACGTGGCAATGGGACCTTTGACCCCAGTTTTCTGTCCCTGCAGTAGCCCCTGGGTCACTCCACCCCCAAGCACCAGCTCCCAGCTTCCTTCTGCTTGTGGAAGAGCATGCTTCTTACCAAGTCCTGTGGCCAAACTTGGATGAGAAGGGACAGATGTGGGAGACACAGGGCATCTGGAAAGCCAGAGAGCTGCAGAGCCCAGTCTGCCCCACTCAATAATCCAGATTAGTCTAGGCCTCTGGGGCGCCCCCTGCTGTTGATACATAAAACTGCACCATTCTTTCTGCTAGTCCCTGGGTCAAAGACTCAGGGCTGAGCTCAGACAGCAGGGGGAGAAGAGCAGACCCCACTCTGTGTGTGTGTGTGCGTGTGTGTGTGTGTGTGTAAGGCCTTGGCTATGCTAGACAAGCTCTTTATCCATGAGTTATGTCCTCAATCTTTTTCTTCTTGTTTCTTATTTTAAGACCGGTTTTTACTAAGCTGCCTGGATCAGGTTTGAATTTTCAATCCTCCCACCTCAGTCTCCCAAAAAGCCAGGATGACAGGCCTATATCACCAGGGCAGAAATGTTTGTACCACTCAAGGAAGGGACCACAGGCCTGTCTCTCCTCAGTGTATCCATTCATTCATTCATCCCCACTTGAACATCCCTTTCTCCTCACATTTTACTAGATACTAGGACACAGATGTGACCTTGCCCTCGCTGGACTTCTAAACAGACTGGAAACCGATCAGTGAGCCAGGATGCGCCCTGAATTTCAAACAGTAAGCACTCATCTGACTGATGTTTCTGTGAGCCATCCCTCTTTCCCTCTAGGATCTGAACCAACCCGCCAGAAAAGGCCGTCAACAGCGGGGGAGGGGGAGGGGAAGGGGAAATTAAAGTCTAAAGGAAAAGCATTTTTAAAGCACCTACTATGTTCCAAGAATCTTACACTGCTCTTTCTACATTCCCAGGGTTGAGTGTGCATGCTCTCTTCACAGGCAAGCAAAGTGTGACTAGCCCAAAGTCACACGCACCCTGAGTGGAGCAGCTGAGGGTCAAACAACTGGATCTGGCCGAAAAGTCACGTGGAAGGACTGAATAGATTTGATAGTGAGTTTTCCGACAGCCTGGGGAGAGAGGGAAATTAGATACTTCATGAGACATGAGGGGAGGGGTGGCATTTCTTAGAAGGAAAGCAAAGCCCTGACCATCACTGAATGACTTTGTCTTTTCTCTGGTGAGATTTGATGAAGAGTTCAGAGAGGACCTTAGAAGATGGAAAATCCTTTAGCTTGTCTATAAAGAGGTTGCTGGGTAAAGGCCCACACCCCCCGCTTAAGGGCTATCCTTAGGATCTTCTTCCCCTGTGACTGAGCCTGTGGTGCCCATAATCCATCTGCCTGCCTGTCTTTACCAGCGCCCCACCCACAGCTCCACATTTCTTCTGCTTCCCCACTCTCCCAGGACTCAGATGCCAGGGTCTGAGCTAAGTGGTGAAACCCAAGTGCCTTTAGGAAGTGTGCTCTTCGTCAGGAGCCTGCGCACAGACCCCTGTGGCCAGGGCTGACTTCCTCCCACAGGGTCTGGGCGGGGCAGGCAGGAAGGGGCCATGACTGGTTCTCTTGGCTACCCACCAGAGCAGCAGCTGAGCTAGCAAGACAAGCAGCTGGGCCACCTTCCCCCGGGGCTTCAGAATGGATGTGTGTCATGCAGGTAAGCAATAGGTCCCAGCCATGGGCCTCAGCCCTTTCCTCCTGAAGGCCAGGAAATAAAACATCAAACTCTGTGTGCAGAGGTAGGAACTGGGCTGGACTCCAGGTCTCAGGGTTCTACAGGGATCTGAGTGGTCGCTGACCTCCTGGGTTCTGCACTAGCTGTGAGGGGGATGGTGACAAACGAGATAAAAGATAAGACAGGAGATCAAGGACTAGGGAAGAGGAAATCAAGAGGCCAACAGAGCTAAGCAGAGAGAGAGTTCTGGAAGTTCTAAGGAAGAGTCTTCAGGTAGAGGGAAGGTTCTCTTCAGGGGCCCTGAGATGACTGGAAAGAATGACTCCTGATGAAGGTAGACACTGTTGGTGGTGACACCTGCTGGACCGTGTGAGGGCCCTACAGAGCCTTTTTAGCTCCTGGAGTCTGGTGACCTTTGATGGAGGCTGGGGACATTGCCTGAATGAGTAACATGTTCAGTGAGCCCCTGGCGCAGTAGGCCTCGTTCGCTCTGTAGCCAGGGTGGTGGGTCTGAGGGACAGAGAAAAAGGAGGCTGTACAGTTGGGACATGAGGGACAGGCTGGTTTGGTTCTCAAGGAGCATAGAGCAGGGCTGTAGGAGGAGCCGTGTCCCTGTACCTAAGCCTCAGAGAGTTTTCTTGGAGTTCTAGGCTCTGAGGGACAGCAGCTGCTAGCTGTCCGGATCCCCAGGTCTATGTGACTGGTCCAGAGTGACACCTTTCCACAAATGAAACCTAACACTGAACAGCCAGGCCCCCCCACTGGTGCTGGGCCCCACCCACTGGTGCTGGGTATTCTCCAGATGCTATGCCTTGTTCCAAATCCCAGGAACATAGAAATCCATAGGGTTCTTTATCTCTTTCTTTCTTTCTCTTTCTCTCTCTCTCTCTCTCCTCCTCCTCCTCCTCATCTTCCTCTTCTTCCTCTTCCTCCTCCTCTTCCTCCTCCTCCTCTTTCTTCTTCTTCTTCTTCTTCTTCTTCTTCTTCTTCTTCTTCTTCCTCCTCCTCTTCCTCCTCCTCCTCTTTTAGATTTTTGGAGACAAGTTTTCTCCATGTAGCCAAGGCTGTCCTGGAAATAGCTCTGTAGACATGGCTGGCCTCCAACTCACAGAGACCTGCCTGCCTCTGCCTCCCTGACACTGGGATTAAAGGCATGTGCCACCACACCTGCCTCCCTAGACTCTTTCAAGAGCCATTCATTTATGGACGGGACACAGGAGGCTGTGAGGGGACATGATATAAGAGGAGGCTGTGGCTCCAGCCACCAAAGATCTCCTTAATATAACCTCTCCCTTGTCTCTCTGGGGCTTTATGGGGGAGGAGCAAGGGGGGTGAGTTAAGTTCCACAAAGTCCCAAGGACTAGGCTTAGGCTCAGGGCCAACAAGAAGGTGAAGAGAGACCAGGCAAAGGCTCACCATACTGCTTCACCTTTCTGTTTGTTCATTTATTCATTCATTTTACAAATGGCCCCGTGGCGTGCTTCAAAATGACTAAAGGGGAGCTGGCTGATATTCCAGGTACTGAGTGGAGGGCAGAGGACTCTGATTCTCCCCCAGCCACACCCACAAATGAGGAGAATGAGAACAGGGGCCGGGGACTTCCTGGGGGAGGCATCTGGGAAGGGAGAGATCTTTCTGTTACCCAGGTCTCACAGAAGCCCATGATGGCCGGGGATCCCCTCAGATTCATTGTTTGTGAACGGCTAGTTCTTTGTCCTCCTGGCCTGCCTCTAGGAATGTGGGGATCTGCCCTGCAGGTGCCAGGGCTGGGTGTCCTCTGCAGCAGGCAGGGGTTCCCTTGTGATGTTTATGGATAGGGATGGTGGCAAAAGCTCTCCCAAGCTGCCTCTGGCTCCTGCCATGGACCTGTATTATAGGGCAGCAGGCTAAGGCCCTTCCCCAGGGCCTGCAGCAAGGTGAGCCCTGAGCACAAGAAAGCCCTGCCTGATGTATGCCAGTGGTGAAGGGCAGGCAGGCTAAAACTAGAGACCGCTGGCAGGGAGATGAAGTTCCCTCCCCTTCTACCTAATGCCCCCCAGGAGCCCCCTCCCTGTGTGCCCAGTGGTACCTCCTTCACCAGTAATGGGGAAGTGGAGCCAGCTGGCCTGAAAGCCAAGCTGCAGGCACTAAAAATAAGATGGGAAAGAGGAAGGGCAAGGGGGAAGTGGTAAGGACCTGACGTGGCGGCTGCCGGGCAGTGGGCACTGGGCGCTCATTGGCCTGAGGCTGGAGCACAGAAGGCAGAGCAGGCTGGGGTGAAGGTGACCGCTTTTCACATCTTTGTGGTTGGCACAGAGTCAGAACACCTAGGCTTGTGGGTTTCACGAGGCTCCAGGGGGGTTGTAGGCTCCAGTCCCAGGTGGGTAGAGCATGGACCCCTGCTCCACCACCACCCATCTATGGTGGCTGAGAGAGGTCATTTAACCTCTCTGAACTCCCAAGAGTATCACATATAGCAGGGAGTTAAAAATCCCCTCTTCAGAGCATGAGGGATTGAGAGACAGGAGGAAGAGTACACACAGTGGGTCCTCAGTTGAGGAGGAGGCAGTGGGAGCACTCAGGGCCAGCACACAAAGGGAGGCAGAGTGGCTTTGGGTAGCCCAGCTTCCACCTTGAACTCAGATATCAGTGAGGGGCGTGGACACGATTGACATGATCTGGTGATGGCGGTACCCAGAGGCTAGAGGGTGGTGCTGTCAAGGCGCCTGAGGTTGAGGTGCATTTCTAAGGCTCAGGAAGAGGCTAGGTAGAGGGGAAATCTCAGAGTTGCTTGAGGTCCAGGTGTAGCTTGGTAGTCAGCCAGTCTAGTTTTCATGAGAGATGCTGTCAGTGATGTGTATGCCTTTAGTTCCAGCACTCAACAGGCAGAAGCAGTTTGAGGCCACCCTGGTCCACAGAGTGAGTTCCAGGACAGCCAAGGATACACAGAGTAACCTTGTCTCAAAAAGAAAGGAAAGAGAGAAAGAGAAAGAAAGGAAGGAAGGAAGGAAGAAAGAAACAAACAAACAAACAAAGAACAAAGGAACAAAGAAATAAAGAAACAAAGAAACAAAGAGAGAAAAGAAAACTCAACAAAACAAACAAAACAACAAACAGAAAATAGAAAGTGAAGACACTTGGCATCAGCCTCTGGCCTCTACAGGGGCGAACACACATGCTCATCCACTCTCCTAAAGCAGACACACACACACACATGCATACACACATGTATTCATGCACATATGTACATACACATGCATGCATGCATGCATGCTCACACACACTCACACCTGGCTCGCCTGGGCAAAGCCTTGTGTCAGTAACCATACTGAAATCCCATACTGTTCCTTCCTAGCTGTGTGACCCGGGATATGCCACCTCACCTTCCTGAGTCCCCGAGGCTTAAACTGAGAACCACCCCTGTAAAGAACCATGAAGACTAAATGTCTGGGGTTCCTTGGGTGTCCAAGAGCTTGGACTTTAATGGAACCTGCATCAGACTCCTTTCTGCCCACCTTGGAACATGATCTCTACCCCTATAGGGAAAGAAAGTTCCACTGAGGCAGCAGGCCTGCAGTCCTGCTTAAGGAGTGCAGTCCAGCTGCATGTGCAATGGAAAGGGGCACTTCGTGTCCTGGAGGGACCATCCAAGCAGGGGACCTTCTCCTCAGCATCCACATAAAGCTGTTCCATTCTCTAGCAGGCCTTGATGGTGACAAAGGGTGGGGACATTCAGGTCCCACTGCACACAGCCTTTGCTAAGAAGGGGTTCCTGGCTTCACATGGTCCCATGGCATTTGAAAGCCCTTGCGAAGAGGAGCGGTGTCTCTCTGAACCTGTGTGGACTCCAGCCAACATGAATAGCTGGGCCAGGATGGGGCTCAGTGATCGGGAATCTGTCAGGCCTGTTTCAAAGCCTTTGGTTCTATCCTTAGCAACATGAAAATAAAAATAAAGAACTGGCTGGCCTTTGTTAGAGCAAAGGTTCCAGACCAAAGCAAACTGTGGCCCAATGCCAGCATCTCCACCCAGCTGGTTAGACATTATGGGTGGTAGTCAGGGGACCCAGGAAGGAGTCCAGCTTCTTGTCATGCCATATGGCTACATCCTTTGCTGTGCCAGGGCCAAGGTGGCCCTGTAGGAGGCTGGTGAGTCAGCTGAGCTGGTCATTAGTCAGGTTGTGCCTTCACACCCCTCCTGAGTGCCTGCCTGTTGGTGACCCGTGCAAATCTCTGCTCACCATCTTCTATAAAACCACCCAGGTCTCCCAACCTGTGTCCCCTAATCTCTCCACTACCCTTTCACTTGGCCTTGGTCTCGCTAGTCACTGCTAGTAGGAACTCAAGGACACCCTCTCTTCCTGAACCACAGGAAGTGGTGAATCAGGTGCCCTGACCAAGGTCTCCACCATGGTCTTTGTGGGACAGCTTGGAGATCCTTAGCTGTCCACACTGTTGGATATAGTTTGCTTATGATTGTTTGGTTTCTAGTTGTTGTTGATGAGACCGAATCTCACCCTATAGCCTAGGCTGGTGTTGGATTTGTAATCCTCCTGCCTCAACCTCCCAAATGTTAGGATTACAAATATGGCAAGCTGCTGTGCCTGGCTCTGTGGAGGACCTGACTGGAGTGTTGTAGGTGGGATGAATGTGCAATGTCCGGGTGTGGCTCCAGCATTGTGGGCCTCACTTTGTTTTGGGGGATGATGAGATGGCACGGGATTGGAAGCCAGTCTGATCCAGGGCCCCAGTTTATTTCTATTCTCTGAGTTACAGTGTCTTAGAGTATGGACTGATGGTGTGCCAACCCTTTCCCTCCACCCCTCCAAATTCTGTTTCTCCTTCTTTGTTCTGCAACTTTGACATTCAGTAAGTTTAGTGTTCTCATCTACATTGGTGGTTTGTAGATTTTTGAATGTGATTATAGGCACTTAAGTTACCAATGCATAGAGCTTGTTTGGTGAATCCTCATCCTCATTACGTTTTCTGGATAAATGGACCCAGATGCGATATGAAACATTCCTTATTCCTTTGGCCCAGACAGCTTTATTGAGCCTGATATCGATGCACATATCTGGACTCCCTATCTCCCTCATGGCAAATTTCCAGATTCCTTCGAGTGTCCAAGAGGCCCGTTTCTTGAAGCCCACTCCATGGAAGCATTTGTGAATGTTGATGGTGTATTCTCAGGTCACCACCTCGCTGATGGCAGTGTGGCCCTTCTTCTTCTTGCCATCCTTCTCTATGGGTGTCATTCTGCCAGGCCCAAGTTGGAAAGGCTCTGTTTTCCTGTCTTACCAAGTCAGGATCATCCTAGTAAAGCCCATTTACCAGCTTCCTTTGCAGCTAGGTTTGGCCAGCTTCCCTTGCAGCTAGGTATGGCTAGCTTCCCTTGCAGCTAGGTTTGGCCAGGTGACCCCCATAATGGCCACAGAAAATCTCTCACCAGGGACTAAAAAGAATGATGATGAAGAAGTAGCATTACTCTGGAGAGGGATGTCCAAGAATGCCTCCCAGTGATGGTGGCATCCAGTCAGGCTCCAGTAGCCAGTGTCACTGGCATAATGGGTCTCGCTTTGTTTCAGGGGTCTCCCCAGGAGGAGCCCTGGGATGCTTAACTAAGCAAGCCTCCTCTCTCTCCAGATCCAGCTGAGCTCAGCAGTGGAGAGGCCAAGGAGCTACAGCAGATCAAATGGCACAGGAAGCAGCTACTGGAGGACATCCAGGTGTGTGCACATATATGCTCACACTCATAGACCCATAGACACTCGCACTCAACAGACTCATACCTGACCTTGTTCAGATCCGCACATGCTCACACATGCTCACACTGAGATCTACACACACTCATACTAATGACTAAACTTCACATGCCCACAAGTCAGCTCTCAACACTATCTATCTCCCACTCTCCTGACCAAATGTTCAGAAAGCAAGTTAGACTTTTGTCTTCTCCTCCCTGAAGCCCCAGGTATCAGCCCCCTCCCATCCTGAGTCCTAAATTCCTGGCTCCTCTCAGCTCAATCCAAGGTCCCAGAGCCCCAGCCTTAATCCCACCTCAAAAATAGAAAGTGGGCTGAACCTGCCAGGGACTACCCACACCAGCTCAGAGGCTAGGCCCAGAGCAGACCAGGTGCAAGCTCGCCCCTCCTGTGCCCTTTGGACAAGGTCACACCCAACCTTTGGACAAGGTCACATCCACCCTGGGCTCAGCTCTGGGGAGCTCACTGGTTTCTCAGATGATCACTCCCGTGGTTATCAGTTACCTCCAGAGACAGGGGTCTGCTCCTCAATCTGGCCTTGCTCAGTTCAGCCTCTGGGCCTCTGCATACTTTCTTACCTCCACTTGGGGTTCCTCTCAGCTCTCCTCACATTCCTACACCTTCCTGATCAAAGTTCTACCTCCTCCTCCAGGCTGCCTGCCACCTACACACACATGCACACTTGATTCCACACGAAAGCACCCACTCGGCTAGCACACACATGTGTCAGGCTCCTTCTCGGCCATTCCTGTGGTGGTCACTTTCTGCTGAGTTCTGCCTTTTGCCCCTTAGCCCCTCGCCATGCACCTGTGGCCCCAACATCCCCAAACTCTATCTCCATGAAAACAGAATCTGGGCCTTGTCCACCTCTGGCCCCGTAGCTATAGCATATAGGTACTCAGTTAATAGTAGTGAGGGTATCCCCATTATGCCTGTGAGTGGAAGCTAAGCCAAGATCTGTCAGCCCTCAGAGCAAGGGGTCTCATGCCAGTTCTGATGCCTAGGAACAACCCAGGAGTACCACATCTCAGTACCCCTCATCTTGTGGGGAGACGGTGCTTGCCTCTTGGGCTATTTGTCCTGTTCACCTACTAACTGCAGGGTAGAACCAGGACAGCTACTTTTCGAGTGGTCCAGAAAATGTGGTTGGTGGGCAAGCTAGGGAAGGGACCTCCCCTGTACTGGGCACGCCCTGGAAACAGGCTGAGGCATGCTGGGATGGAATCGAGAGCAGCACAAGCTGAGAATCTGCCCTGCAGACATGGGAATGCCATGGCTGTTTCCTGTTCCCTCTGTTCCAATGAAGTGCACAGCTCCTGAGAGGCCTGTGCTGTCCCGGCCCTGGGGTACCAGTAGCACTGGACATATGGCAGGCGCTTACTGACAAGTGACAGAGAAGATGTGGTGCTGGACAAGAGATGGGATCCATGCCCTAGGTGGCCATGGAGAGCCACAGAGGAATTCTGAACAGGGAAGGGCAATACCATGCTTCTGTGGGGAGTTGTCAGCCAGGTGGAGTGAGGGTTTATTTGGTGAGAACAGTGGGCAGGAGACTTCCCGGCCACACGGGGACAGCGAGGGAGCCGAAAATAGGGTCAGGTGTGTACACAGGGACTCCCACCCCTGAAACGAGGGCTGGTGCAGGCGCAAGAGCACACAGAGGTACTGAGCTCCTGCTTTGAAGATAAAAAGGGCACAGGAAAGGGGTGGGGCTGAGAAGGTTGAGGGAAGAGCCTGAACCACAAGCAGAGCGGGACTTCCAGCCTGACCCTTGTATGTGTGTCCACAGAAACTGAAGGATGAAATTGCAGATGTGTTTGCCCAAATTGACTGCTTTGAGAGCACGGAGGAGAGGTGAGGGGCCTGGCCCAGGGGAAGACGATTCCCGGGCACATTTCCGTGTGCCATGGAGGGCGATAGCACCCAAGGAGATGGCCACAACCCCATACACACTGTCTGGACCACTCCCCATTGATTCTCAAACAAGCTCCACACTCTCATCTCTCCACCCCACCTCCCCACAGTACTGCCTGAACATTACTGGTCAGAGGCAGCTGGAACCGGATGAGCAAATACCCTGACCCTGACCCTGGATAAGGGTAAGGGAGCTCTGGTATCTAGGAACCAGAAGTCTGGCCTGGAGTAGGCTCTGCTGGCCCAACTCAGTCCTCACACAAGAAGGTCCTGCTGCCTCTTTGCCCTAGGGTTGGGCCTTCTTTCTGGGCCTCAGTTTCCCCATTTGTATAAGGAGAAGGTTTGGTTCCCATATACTCTCCTAGACCCCCAACCTCTTGACATTGTAAAACCACAAGTGACACTTCTGCTACAAATTGAAAAAAAAAATCTTTTAACGTTTCCAAGTAAGTTATGTATTGGTTGGCATTCATAGCTCTCCTGGGCCAGACGCAGCCACTTGTAGCCAGCAGGCTGGACATGCCCGCTAGGACTCTCGGGCACTGAACTATTGAACTACACATGGTTTGCTGAGAGCCCGTCCAGCCTCTGAAACCCCTGCTTCACAAGCAACTCAGACACATGCACACTCATGTGCACACATGAACACACACACACACATACACACATGCCCTGCATGAGGGCAACAGGGAGTTCTTGCAGAGAAGGAAACTGAGACCTGGGGGAGGGAGGAGAAATGAAAGGACTCATTCTTGTAGCTTGGCCCAAGAGCATATACAGCAAGACTCACGTTCAGGAGCAGCCTCTGGGACCCATGTCCTCACTGGCTCCATCATGCCCCTGTCTCCTCCTCAGTGAGCTCTGCTGAGCTCCCGAGAGGCCCAGAGTTCAGTGCTCAGCTTACAGCTTACCCTGCCCCTTAACACCCTCCCAGGTGGTTCTTGCTCTCCCAGGTGGTCCAGACACAGGGGCTGGGGCTACACATGGAGTTCCAAGGGCATGCTGGCTCTCCTGAGGAAGCCCTCCTTGGGGCTTTTGGGGGACGGTGGCATCCAGAGCCACCATGCTGATATGCCTCTGTCCACAGCCGGATGGCACAGAAGGAGAAGGAGATGTGCATCGGGAAAAAGAAATTCAACATGGACCCTGCTAAGGTACACATGGGGGGGAGGCCATGGATCCCACCCAAGTAGGCTTCCGGGTGACCATAGGAGGACATGGACTCACCAAGGTGCACAGATGAGCTGAAAGAGGAAGCTGCCTTCTGGGCACCTTTGCAACTGACCCCAGAAACCACCCAACAGAGAGAGCTGAGAGCCCTCAGGGACAAGCCTTTGGTCCCTAGCTAGGGCTGGCCTCTGTTCATTCCACAACACTGCAGCCCAAAGACAGGAAGGCTGTGAAGTCCCCTGGACCAATGCCCTCGCTTCCCTGGCCCCATGCCCTACTCTGGAATGGGCTTATGGCAGTGAGGCCCTTAGACCTTGAACTAACTCTCTCTCTCCCTAGCACACCTTCCAAGCCCAGGCTGCAAAAACTCATTCTCAATCTCTGTTGCCCATGGCTTCAGCGCCAGCCAGCAGCCCTTCCTTCTGCCAGGTGGCCATGGGTTCCCTCTCCACCAGGGACAGCCACAGGAGGAAGCCACAAACCATACTAGGGCAAGAGTCCAGGCAACCTCAGGGAATGCTCTGGCTGAGACGGCCTTGCCTGGGCGTCCACCTTGCACAGGCCCAGGCCCTGGATCACTGCTCCACTTACAAACAGGCACACGTGTCTCCGGCTCTGGCCACAGGCTGCCCAGCAAAGCTGGCTGCAAGGTGCCGGGAGGTGGGGCATGCCTTCCCATCCACTTGGGAAGAGCAGGGAAGGTCATTGCCATGGAAGCTGGCTACCTCCCAGGTGGGGGTTGCAGTCACCTCCCCTTTTGGTTCCGCTGGTCTGTGTGACTTTTACACAATGAGCGTAGATTGCTGCTGCAGTGAAATGAAACGATTTGGAATTATAAGAGTGGGGAGCTAACAAAAGGAGAGGCTGACTCACCGAGGCTTAGAACCGCCACTTCCAGCAACCACGGGAGGGTGTAGTCGAAGCGTGCCCGGGCTGGAGAGACCCTGGGGAACCCTGCTTCGCTTAGCTCCCTGAGCACACCTCCAGCGATGGGGGGCTCACCACCTCCCAAAAGTGACTTGAGAACGCCATCCCAGAACAGGCTGTGGGGAGTTCAAACACCAGGTCCCCCTTCTTCTCCCCTCCTCCACTGGGGGCCCATGCTATGGGGGCAGCTCATGAACTCTGTGTCATCTCCAGGGCATCCAGTATCTCATTGAGCACAAGCTGCTGACCTCTGATGTCCAGGACATCGCCCAGTTCCTCTACAAGGGCGACGGTCTCAACAAGACAGCCATTGGCACCTACTTGGGAGAAAAGTAAGAGGATCCCCCAGACAGGGAGCGGGAAGTGAGGGTGTGGGGTGGACACGCCACTCGGGGTGGACAGTGCTTGGAAAGCCATCGTTCTGAGGACTTGAGGTGAGCACTGATTCCCAGGCTCTGGCATATTCATTCATTCATTCATTCATTCATTCATTCAGTTTGTGCCTGCTGTGCTCTGAGCTCTCTTCCAAATGGTGGCCATATAAGACAAGATGGTCAAACTCCTGTCTTCAGGGACAGGTGCTATCTGCATGGGAGAGAGACAGAAATGAGCTCTGTTGGGTACACAGAAGGCAAATAGGAGGGCTCTGAGCTGGGGCTCAGGTTTCTGTTGGCAAGGAAGTGAGGGCCATGCACACAGGAGGATTCCAGGCTGTGAGAACAGTCAACGCCAAGGCCCTCAGCAGGGACAGCTCGACTCAGCAGCAGTGGAAGAGAAAGAAGGATTGAGAGGGAGGAAGGAAGGAAGGGTGTGAGGCAGGGGGATCCGGGGAGGCTCCAGACAGGAGTGTCTGGGACCACCTTCTGGCTGGTAGAGGGATGGGCCACAGTGTAGGAGGCTCAGTGAGTCACCAGCCCTTCTCAAACACTGCTGAGTGAGGCAGCTCACAGGCCCCTGACCTGAGAGGTGGGGAGGGGGAGGAAGTAGAAAGACCAACGCTAATGAGGAAATGGGGGTGGGAATGTGCAGAGACTGGGGTAGGGTCACCAGGCAGGAAGTGACCAAGGAAGAACCTGACTCAGTGGCCCAGAGTTCAATGCCTCTGTGTGTGTGTGTGTGTGTGTGTGTGTGTGTGTCCATACGCATGTGCGTGCATCCATGCACATGTGTCTGCGTGTGTTTAAGAGAGTGAGACAGAGGGAAAGAGAGACAGAGGTGTGTCCCCACTGTATAACTGGGCTGGGAGGATGTCATCTCTCCCTCCCTCTCTAGAAGGCAGACATGGCAAGTTACCAAGTGTGTCCTCTTGTCCCGTCCTTCCCCAGGGACCCCATCAACTTGCAGGTCCTGCAGGCCTTTGTGGATTGCCATGAGTTTGCCAATCTCAACCTCGTTCAGGCCCTCAGGTGAGTGGTGCAGGGGGGGATGTGGTGGGGGTGGGAGTCCAACCCAGGCCTGCATGCAGAGGAGGAACCTTGAGAGGCCCACAGCCCTATAGAGCTGAGGCAGGAGAATCCCAGGCATAGAAGCCTGCAGCTGCCTCTCATTGCTCCCCCACTGCGATATCTGTAGCTGCCCTTCCTCAGACGGTGGCCTCATCTGAGGGTCTAGCACCATGTTCTAGCACTTTCTAGGCTAGCCCGTGTTTACTCTGTTCCTGTGTCCAGATCCGTGTAGAGCACAGTCGCTGTGGCTCATGATGGCCTGATTCTAGCGCTCTTACCTCCACTTGTGTTTTCCCATCTGTGTGCACAGCGTGGTCCCCGCGTGAGCAACACGTGCCCCATGATGTCCTCTCCAGACCCCAGCTTTCCCCCTCATTCCCCGTGTGACCCAGAGCAAGGCACAAAGAAGAGACCTCAAAGCTGGGCACGGTGCTTACACCTGTAATCGTAGCACTTGGAAGCCTGGGGCAGGGACACTGCTGCGAGCTACAGGCCAGCTCGAGCTACATAGTGGGTTCCAGGCTAATGTGGGCCACCCTCTCTTAAAAACAAAGAAACAAAACAAAATGAAACAAAAACCAGAGAAGGAAGCATGGTTCCCTGGGCCTCTATCTCCTCATCTGTAATGTGGAAATCAGGACCAAGTCGGGAGGGCAGGAGGACTAAATGCAGAAGGGTTTGTAACCTGACATGGCTAGTGTCACACGTGTCAACCTGTCTTGGTGAGACTTCATGTCAACTTAGGGAGTCTTAAAGCTGCTGCTGGGAAGGCCTGGAAGTCAGCTCCCAAGAGGGAGATTTGATCTGGGCTTTGAAGGATGAGTAGGGGTTTGCATGGCTAGGAACAAAGAGCCTACTATTATCCAAGCTGTATGGGCTTCCTGGAGGAAGGGCTTAGGAATCACTCATCTGTCTGTCTGTCTGTCTACTATCCATCTACCTATCTATCATCTATCTATCTATCTATCATCTATCAATCTTTTTTCCTTTGTTTCTTTCCTCCTTTCTTGCTTTCTCTCCTTTTGACTTTCTCTCATTCAATAATTTTTTGCTGAGCAGATTTTAAGTGACCTGAGGAGATAAGAGAACTTAGCTTACACTAAGTCACAAGTGTCCAGAACTTAGCGGAAGCTTAGGTCCCAAGGAAAGGGAAGCCCATGGAGTTGAGGCACTGCCAGGGTCCCACAGCCAGAGCCTGCTGCCCCATGCCAGTGTTCTGTAAGACTCCGCATCCTCCAGTGCTCTTGATACTTCGCACCTGAACTCACCTACCCCATGTTTGCCCAGCCCAGTGGTCACCGGTTCCCATTCACCACCTGATGCTACTGAGAGCCGCGCCTGCTTCACTGACCATGGTCCTGTCCCCTAGGCAGTTCCTGTGGAGCTTCAGGCTGCCGGGCGAGGCCCAGAAGATTGACCGCATGATGGAAGCCTTCGCCGCTCGCTACTGCCTTTGTAACCCCGGAGTCTTCCGGTCCACAGGTGACAAACTCTTCATGTCCCCCAAGCCCTTCAGACCTTCAGACCTTTACCAAACCCTCACAGAGCACCAACTCCATGTCTGTCTGGAGCACAGTCCTGGGGAGAGGGAACAAGGAAAGACAGAGCAGCGTTGGGATGTGGAGTTCAGGATGGCTTCTCAGAGGAAGCAAAGTCTGAGTGAGGTTTTGAAGGATGAGTAGGAGTTCTCTAAGAAGTTCTAAGGGGAAGATGCTTTAATGTCTCCACTTAAACAAAGGCTCCAGGGCATGTAACATCTTGGAAAGGGCAGAGCAGGTGATCAACAGGCTCTGTCGCCCACACTTCTGTCTCCAAGGGTAACCAAATATTGAGATAGGGACAGGATGAGGGAGGAGCCACCATACCACAAGCCAAGTTTCAGAGGGGGTCCCTGCGTTCTGGCGCTTTACATGTACAAGGCCTTTGGACCCTCGTGTCAGCATCCTCAAACCCCCATGCCAGTCTCTAAGCACAGCAGCAGATTGTCCCCAGGGAAGCACAGAGTCAGAGTCAGACAGGCAGCAATCTGTCCTATGTCAAACTGAGGACAAAAGTTCCCTGGAGTCTTTGCTGCAGTTGGCCATGACCTGGGAACTGGCATTTGCTTGCCGGCTGGTTTCTACACACTTAAACACCCAGCAAGGGCAGGGAGCACATCAGTCCCAGCAAGGGCAGGGAGCACTGCAGCTCCCAGAAGGCTCAATAAGAACTGGTGGAGGCCAGGGGTGTTGCCATATATTTATAATATCAGCACTAGGGAGGCTGAGGCAGGAGGATCACTGCCAGTTCAAGGGCCAGCCTGGGTTTCATGTAAGACACTGTCTCAATCAGTCCGTCATTCAGGCTACATAGACATGGAAGGGATTTTAATCATCTGTTCAGTTTGTGACCAGGAGTCACTGTGTGACTCAACTTCCTGTGCCTCAGGGTCTGGTCTTTAAGATGGAGGTGCAGCTGTACCTGTCTCCCAGGACAGGCCTTGGGGGTGCAGAGAGCTGAGCAAGGGGTCAAGGGGTTGGGAACTGGCCTCCCTCAGGTTCCAGATCCTCAGGAGACCCAGAACAGCAGGCACACCCCGAAGCCCGCACACAAATCTGTACATTGCAGCAGGCTGCTGGCAGCTTGGGCCAAAAAGGCATCCAGGTTACCAGGCAGCTTAGAACAAGCTACTAACTAACGGGGCGGCTCACAATGAGCTCCAGTTCCCAGGAGGCAGAGAACAGAGTAGGCGGGCCTGGAAGGGCTGCAGCTGAAGGCAAGCAGGATCTGAAAGGGAAGGAGGGCTGGCAGAGCCGCAGGGGGCAGAGCAGCAGCTGAGGTTTGCAAGAGTGGGAAGGGAGGCTGGGCCTTGAACGGCTGCCAAGCTCAGCCAGGGGCGGGCTGGACCTTGCCAGGACTGGGACAGAAGATGGGACAATAACCTGGGCCAGAACTGTGACCAGTGCCAGGTTCCACAGACACCTGCTACGTGCTGTCCTTCTCTGTCATCATGCTCAACACTGGCCTACACAACCCCAACGTGCGGGACAGACCGTCCTTCGAGCGCTTTGTGTCCATGAATCGTGGCATCAACAGTGGCAGTGACCTGCCGGAGGAGCAGCTGCGGGTGAGCTCACCACCCCCTTACCGATCTTCCGGGAGTCCCACCCCTCTGAGATACAGTGGAGGCAGAGGGTGCGGAGGTCCACCAGCCTAGTTATTATTATGACGTGGGCCATCATATGTGGGCATCATCAGCCTGGCCTCATCTCAGCAAGGATGTCTGCAGGTGGACCACGGGAAGTACGTCAGATTTAGATTTGGGGAAACCCTGTCCAGTCATTACTCACACTTGCCCCAAAATGGTACTTTGAGCTTAGTGTGAGGCTCGAAGACACACACAGACTATAGGGATCCATCCTGAGCACCCCAGTAAAAGGGGACAATACCTCCTAAGCTCAGAATGCCAGCTTCTCTGCAACCCACAGGGAGAAAATGCTTGGCTGGGTGCTCAAGGGAGAAAACCAGTCTCCTACAATTCCCTGCTAGTTCTACAGCAAGGCTAGTCCCAAGCCTCTTGTCCCCTGATCCCAACACGGTATCCTTGCCTCCCTGCACCAAAACCTGTTCTTGGCACAGGGGCCCAGGGATAACTCCACGCAGGGATCCACACTGAACCCCCACAGCACATGGGGTCACATCAACCATGACGACCGTGAGAGACTCGCTACAGAGAGACAGCCTGCCGCCATCTTGGGGGGCGGGGGCGGGCAAAGGTGTCACCCCAGAAACCTGGCCAAGCATGCACAAGGCACTGGGCCCAGTCCCTAGCATTGGCTTTATAATCCGGCACCTGGGAGGTAGAGGCAGGAGGATCAGGAATTCAGAAGCATTCTTGGCTACATAGCGAGTTTGAGGCAAGCCTGGGTAAGAGAAGAAGCCATTTCACAGCAAACAAGCAAAAGGAAGCAACAAAATAAAACCAAACCAGCCCTCGGTGCAGGCTGGAACACACAGGCCTTAGAGGCACCATGCTTCGGGGCAGAACCAGCCTTCTCAGGGGATCCTAAATGTGTGGGTTTCCCCTGACTGACCGCTGTTGCCTTCCATCCAGAGAGCCACTAATACATCATCCCCCTCCTCAAGCTCGGACTGTCTTGGAAAAGATAACCGTTCATCTCCGTGTAGCTTCTAGTCTAGCTGAGAGGGTCAGGTACCCTGGTCAGCAGCACATAGCTAGGCAAAGAGCAACAGGAGCCAACAGGAGCCTCAGCCAGATGGCTGTCAGTCTTTGAGCCCACAGCTGGGCTCTGGAGCCCCTCCAGCAGGAGCGAGCAGGGCTTACAGGGAGTGGGTAGTGATTTCGAATCTTCCCCAGGCCTACACTGAGAGCCATCCCAGGCAACCACATGAACCCAGGCTCCTCTCATCTTTTCCTGGGCCTCGTTTTAATTTTTTTTTTTTAAAGCAAGACCCCAGTGCCACACTGTCTTTTTGCAGTGAATTCTCCATGGATCACTGTTTTTCAACTGCCAAAGAAGCCACAAAATGCTTTTAAGTACACCAAGAGTCAGAGGTAAATTTACACAGAGACGTGCCCCAAGAGAAGTCACCCCAAGATCACACAGCCCTCGAGGGTATGCTTGTAGGAAAGACTAGGAGAGGTATATTGTGGATGTAGGGTGCAGGCAGGCCGGGTCAGAATACTGACAAGGTTCTAGGTGCAGAGGCAGGGGATAGACACAGGGGCAGGAGACGAATACCAGCTCCTCCCTGGGCCATCCTTCAGGCCTCCCTGTCAGAGCAGGCAGTGTCCTAAGCATGCTGTCACGGTGTCCTCTCTGTTCTCAGGGTCAAACTTAGGTCACAGGGTGCCACTGGAGTTAGCTGACCTGAGGCTTCATGTTGTGACAGGAGAGTCCCAGCTTAAGGTGTATCTGCCTCCTGCAAAGACCAAACAAAGAACCGAACCAGGGACGTGTGGATAGTGATAGAAACAGAGTTCATTAAAGAAGAAAAATGCATTTCTGAGGAGGGGGTGGGGCAGAGAGTGGGGACAGGACTGAGAGTCAAGAGCTGCAGACCCCCAGTGCTCAGCCTTCCCGGTTCCCCACATAGCAACGTTCTCTCCAGCATTTGGAAATGGAGGTTCGTCTCCTGTGGGTTCTGTCCATTACGTGTGGACATGTGGCCACAGTATACATCTGAAGGTCAGAGGTCAGCATGCAGGAGCTAGCTCTCTCCTTCCAAAGGATCCGACTCAGGTTATCAGGTTTGGCAGCAAGCGCCTTTACCCACTGAGCCATCCTGCCTGTCCATCATATGAAACTCTTGATACCTCTTTCTTCGTGCCTTCCTGTCCTGCCACACTGGCTGGCAGAATCATAACGAGTATCACTAGAAAGATCATGGATGGGGCTGGAGAAATGGCTCAGTGATTAAGAGGATTGACTGCTCTTCCAAAGGACTGGGGTTCAATTCCTAGCACCCACATGACAACTCACGACTGTCTGTAATTCCATTTCCATGGGATCCAATGCCCTCACACAAACACGCATACATAATTGATTAAATTAAAAAAACAAAACAGGGATCCCTTTCCCTCAGATTGTTGGCTTCCGGTGTGGCTAGATCCAGAGGCTTGGTGGTTTGAGGGAGCTGTATGTCACAACAAGGCCACCCCACACCCTGGCGATCCTCTAGACCCTGGCTACTGCAGAGATGCTCAAGTAGGGCCAGGCCGTCAGCTTCTCTTAGAAAACTACTTCTGGAGTTAATTCCTATTGACTGGCCAGGATCATGTGTCTCTGTCTAAACTAGTCATTATAGCACAGAGCATACAGGGCTCTAAACAACCAATTAGAGGTCCCTCCCTGGCACCTGGGGATGGAGTGGGGTACCCAACTCACTGCAAACCTAGACAAAAAAAGAGAGGAGAGGGGATCCTAGGTACAGGGCCGCAAGGTCACTCAGGGCCCTAAAAGTCCTCTATGCAGTGGTTTGTTCCGAGACGCGGGCTTCAAGGTGTTTTCAAAACACAGGAAGCGTGGGCGTGTTGCACTGTTTCTTCAAGGCAGAATGCAAACGTTGCTACTGTGACCGCAGAAACTTTCAGGTACCCTTGTGGGTTTAGCAGGGGCTGAAACCCTGTCTGTCACCCTGCAGCCTTCTTGGGCTCGCTAATACTTGGCTGAGCTGACAGCTCAGCTACTGCTATGGCTTTCCTGTCCCAGACACTCATTCCACTAGCCACTTGGGGATTCCCAAGGTAAAGTCTGCCACCCCCATCCCCATGCAACCCTGCCCTTACTCCAGCCAAAACAAGTCAGTCCCCACTTTCCTCTCACCCCCATACCACAGTGAGGTTGGGGGACACAAAGGCTGGGCTGGAGGACGGTCCAGCCCCGCCTCCACAGATTCAATCACACAACTGGGCGAGCGCAGTGCCCGCTGGAGATCTGAAACACTGCCCTAGGGTAGGAGTCATCTCAGCCCTGGCTCACATACCTCCAGGGTCACTCCTTGCATATTTAAGCAGCTAAGTCATCCATGGAGGACTGAAGTCAGCTCTTACGAGGACCCTCTAAATCCCAGTCCCTACAATGAGAACGCATCCTAGATAGACACTGCGGTCAGCACCCTACACTGGGCACCCCTCCTGCCACTGGGTCTCTGAACCTGAAGCAGTCGATCTCTTCCTCCTCAAGGCCTCCGCTAGCCTCACCTCAGCATGTGTTATCTAGAAGTTTCTACTGTCTACCTAAATAGGAGAGGAACATCTCCCGTGTGTCTGTGTCCTTATGTACAACCCTAAGGCATCCATCCTGCTTACTCTGCCAGAGGACAACACAGGGGAAGGCACACAAGGGTCTGGGTGTGGCCGGTGCAAAGGAGAGTGCCAATCACCTGAGGGGACAGGGACTTGGGGGGAGAGGTCACAAGAATGGCCCAGGAGTAGGTTAACCAGGAGAGGGCTGACTTGCCAAAGGTCACCAAGGCAGGTTGTCTGGCCCCATACTCAGTGGACTGAAGCCATCCTTTTCCTCCTCTGGGCAGAACTTGTTTGACAGCATCAAGAGTGAGCCTTTCTCCATCCCTGAGGATGACGGCGGTGACCTCACCCACACCTTCTTCAACCCTGACCGTGAAGGCTGGCTACTCAAGCTAGGTGAGACCTCTGTGCACATTCTCTGATATGCTCACTTGCACACATGTGGCACACACACGTGCGCGCGCACACACACACACACACTCCTTAGGAGTGGACCTGCACAGTTCTGGGTCTCTTAACCCACAGCCCAGCAGTCTACTTACACTTTCTACCCTTCCTCTCAACCATCCCTCTACTTATCTATCTACCCATCCATCCATGTACACATCCACCCACCCATCTACCCATCTACCCACCTACCCCTCTACCCACTCATCCATCTACCCACCCATCTACTCACCCACCCATCTACCCACCCATCCATGTACTCATCCACCCACCCATCCATGTACACATCCACCCACCCATCTACACATCTACCCACCCACCCATCTACCCACTCATCCATCTACCCACCCATCTACTCACCCACCCA